AATTTACCTCGATATCGGTATCCCTGGATATGGATATGGCCCATCTCGATATCGGTATCCCTCGATATCGATATGGCCCATCTCCATATCGGTATCCCTCGATATCGGGAGCACGCATTTGCGGCAAGTACGCCACCTGGCAAGTACGCGACGTGGCAAGTGCGGCCTCACCATATAGTCTCGCGTGGCAAGTATGCCCTCACCGAATCCCCCGCTATGGGGAGGACGCATTTGCCACGTGGAGTACTTGCCCCATCATCTAGTCCCACGTGGCAAGTGCGGAGGTGGCGACGCCGAGGTGGCGATGGGAGCGGGATGGCAATGCCCAGGTGGCGACGCCATATGGCGTACTTGCCACGTGGCGATGGGAGAGGGATGGCAACGCCGAGGTGGCGACACCACGTGGCGATGAAAGCGGGATGGCAACGCCGAGGTGGCGATGCGATCGGGAGCCGGATCGGGAAGCGAAGGTGGCCACGGGCGCGGGATCGGGATCGGAAAGCGGAGGTGGCGATGGGTACCACACTTCGCACGTGCCAAACATCGCACGTGGCGCACTTTCCGCATCGCCACATGGCGTACTTGCCCCATCATCTAGTCCCACATGGCAAGTACGAAGGTGGCGACGGGAGCGGGATGGCGACGCGGAGGTGGTGACGCCATCTCGGCGTCGAGGTGGCGTACTTGCCCCATCATCTAGTCCCACGGGCAAGTGCGGAGGTGGCGACGGGAGCGGCAGGTACGCCACGTGGCAAGTGCGGCCTCACCATACAGTCCCACGTGGCAAGTGCTGAGGTGGCGACGGGAGCGGCAAGTACGCCACGTGGCAAGTGCGGCCTCACCATATAGCCCCACGTGGCATCGGGAAGCGGAGGTGGCGACACCGAGATGGCGATGCAGAGCGTGGGATCGGGAGCAGGATTGGAAAGCGAAGGTGGCGACGCAGGGCGCGGGATCGGTAGCGGGATCGGGAAGCGGAGGTGGCGACGCCAAGGTGGCAACGCAGGGCACGGGATCGGGATCGGGAATCGAAGGTGGTGACGGGAGTGGGACCGGGATTGGAAAGCGGAGGTGCCGATCAGTACCACACTTTGCACGTGCCAAACATCGCACGTGGCGCACTTTCCACATCACGTCAGGCTGTGGCCAGGTCACCAAGTAATCAATCAATCAATCAATCAATCCATCAATCAATCCATCAATCAATCAATCAATCAATTAATCAATCAATCAATCAATCGATTAAGTAATTAATCAATCAATCAATCAATCAATCAATTAATCGAGCGGAATGTGTGTGTGTGTGCGTGTGTGTCTCTCTTTCTCTTTCTCTCTCTCTCTCTCTCTCTCTCTCTCTCTCTCTCTCTCTCTCTCTCTCTCTCTCTCTC